AGGTGACCCGTCTGCTCGTTTAAAAATGAAGTTATTGGCAGCCCAACTCAAACAGCGGCAATGCACTTGTGTCTCTACAGTTGCCATTACGGGTCTCATATGTTTGTTTGCTTCTTACACCATTAAAACTATATATATATATTTAAAGTATAATAATAATGTATATATTTAAAGTCAAATATACTATTATATTATTTTTTCATCGAGTCTTTGAACACAAAGCAAATGCTTTGGGTTCAAATAGCTTCAGAAATATTCATTCGTTTCATGTGTTTCAATATTTTAACCATCTTGTTTATACGAGTAGATGCATGAAAAAGTATTTGCAGATTTGTGAAACTATTTTATGTCCAGCTGCACTCTTTATACAATTGTATGAGATATGGAAAATAGTCTGACTGCTCCGAGTTTTTGGCTCCTACAAGCCATTATAACATCGTTAATTTGCTATAAATCTTTTTAGATTACGAAACTTCTTCAATATCTTAACAAGTGATAAGTGTATTTATGTATGATGTTTAATGTAGATTAAAGTTGAACATGCCTCACTTTAAATTTATGATCTCTCAACAAATCTAGTTATCTACTAATGAAGTGCTATTAGATTTATTGTAGATGTATGTACCTGTGATTACCAATTTACTACGTGACATGAATAATACATTTCTTAACTTAACGCTTCATATTGGTATGTGTTCAATAAAGTTTTTATTGTATACATACTAAGTGACTCGCGCAACTTAGTTTGGGTCTTTCAAAAGGAATAAATTTTACGCTTCTTTGCAACATTTTTTCTTGATGCTCGGCTCCTATTGGTAGTAACGTAATGTTACACGGCTCTTATCCTTCATCGATAAATAGGCTGTCCAAAATTAAAATATTTTTTTTAATTCGAACTAGTAGTTCCTAAGATTATCGCGTTCAACAGAACAAACGACTCAGATTTATATAGTATAGAATAATGTACCTAATGATGTTTTTCAAAGACTACTGCTTTTACTTTTAACTAGCTGATACCCGCGACTTCGTTCGACTTCTAAAGTTACAGCATTTAGATACAAACCAAGACTATTTAACAATGTGTGTATATAGAATACTTTGAATACATTACTTCATTTAAGTATGACAGACGTATTTCTTTTACTTTTGTCAGACAAAATATTCCAATCCTTTCTCATTGACATTTTTTATTTATGAGGCAATCTTCGCTTTTGTTTTTATATCATACATTTTTTGATGAGTCTCTGAGTAAAATAATTTTCTTCTGATGAAATGTATATTTTCATCGTAAACACTTTTATAAATGAAAGTAAACCTAAGTATAATTTATAAAAGTGTCATGCATTGAGACGTGATTGATTGACTCGCATTCAAAGTTTTTGACAAAGAAGGTTAAGCATTTTCATTGTGTATAAATATTCCAGTATACTTTTGATTATAGTTCATCATATCCAATAGACTGACTGATATCTTTGACGTTTCATACTTTTCAAGCCGAAACAACCATGTATAGAAATAAGTCACACAATTTCAATAAACTTTTCTGTAAAACAATGGCATTATGAACCTATTTTATTTCAAGCAAAATAATCAACATATAAAAAAGATACCTAAATGTTTTTTAGACTTCGTTTTAAAGTCACATAGTTAGGTCCTTTTCCGTGGTGTTGCGAGTTTTCAAATTATAAATCAAATAAGACCTATAAATTTTGATTCGATTGAGTGTTCGTGATCGTTAACTTAGAATTTTGATTTTTTCACAACTTCATGGGACTGTAGACCTGAATACATGATTTTATTTTCAACTCGATACCTCTACGAGTTCCCGAGATAAAGGGTCTTGACAGACAGATCGACAACAAAGTGATCCTATAAGGGTTCCATTTTTTTTTTCTTTTGAGGTACATCCAACTGTCAGCGTAATTGTAACTTAATTAACGTTGAAGTAATTTTACCAATTTGTGCCGGGTTCTCCCGCGATTAATGTGTACGATATATTTGCAATAATTTCACAAAAATGAATTTAGATCATGACTTAAAATTCTAAATTGATGATTTTTTTGTTTTTTGGTTTTTGCAATTGAAAAAAAGTTTTTGTTAAGTTTTTTTTAACTTACCGTTGCTAACACTCTAAATAATAAAACATCCATGCATTTTTGTTGCATGTAGATATTTTTAAATAAAAAATTAAATTTGAAATAATCTATTTAAAGTTGATAGCCCAATTCATGATTAAGATTATTTGCAACCAAGCATTGAATAAGTGACAATAAATGCGAGTATACAGTGGGCAATGTCTTCTTGTTTTTATTACTTAAAAATACAAAAAATAATTTTCGTTTGTTTGCTATAAAGTTAATTCAATAACAAAATTTAATACACCCCCAACATAAATTCAACTTTATAAATAATTGTCACATTTAATTCGAGACATTAATATGCGGAGTTGTATTAATATAAATGGGGGGGGACGCTTCAACGATGGCGACCCTTAGCCCTTGCGTGAATACGACGATAACAAACAAAATGTTCTACAACGTAATTAAAACTTTGTTCTACACATGCCATTAACTGGACAGTTGTAGTCTGGTCTCGGCACATTTAGGTGGATAGGTAGCTGAAAGGTCACCAACATTTATCGCCAATATATTTTAGTATAAAAGCATTTAGTTTTTTGATGTTCAGAAATTTACTACAATCGTAAAACAAATAAAACTCTTTTTCCAAATTGCTCGTGAAGACTGTGACCAGTACTAATTTTGCATAAGAACTTATCAAAATAACTCGTGTAATTAGGTACCTGATAACAGATAAAACAGCTAAAACCAGTAGGAACAGAGTGTATAGCATAGAAAAACAAACGTAACCAAAAATGTACCATAAACTGAGTTTCATTTCACTCAATAGAGTTGCTCGGTAATGTGAGTAATACTGTCTTAATTGCTAGTTTATGGCATGCCGTGAATAGGTAGAACTGTAAAGGCCCTAACCACCTGCCACCAGCATATTATACTAGGTGTTATTAATTTTCTACCTTCTGTAAATATATTTTCACCTGTATTACGAATTGTTAAAATTATATTAGGGAACGAATAAACTATTTGTTTTAGTATTAATTAAATCTGTCATTAATTAAAAAAGTATTAAAAAAGGAGTGAGCAACATGCATTGTAACTTTTAGTGATATTAAATTTTATTCAAATATGGAGGTATTTTTGAGATCTTCTGGTTTCGATTGGAGATCCTTCTTCGCAGCTATAATCGAGAAGAAGAAGGGAAATGAATTCTTATTCATCTGCATTTTCTCGCCTTAAGTAAAAACTGTTTTGCAAGTTCCAGTAGAAAGCGTGTTTGTTACAAAGCGTAATTGACTTAGAAAAGCTGCTTGTAAAGTAAATGCAAAGCAATTTCTGCCGTAAACAATTTAATTCAAATTAGTCCAGTGGGTTTTAGAATGTTCGCCTCTTTGAATGTAATGTAAATGGGTGCTCTATTTATTATTTTAAAAATTCTATTCTGGGTTTTATTTAGCAAAAGGTTTTTATCAAAAATATGTGTCATTATGTGGCTATTGTGTGCTTCATTATCACAAATCACATCAACAGCCTTTAACAGTCCACTGCTGAACATAGGCCTCTACTTAGAAAGGAGGTTTTAGCCTACTACACCTCGCTGGCCAGACGTTTTATATAGGGTTTGTGTCAAGTTTTATTTGTTGCCCTGCGTAGATTGCTCGCTTAGTCGGCACTTACGATACTCAAGCGATGAATAGGTGCTTCAGGGCAGCATTAAAGATTTTAGCTTTTAAACGATTACATAGATTCTTGGCACAAAAACGACGTATTGGCTAAGTTACTAAAATATAGGAAATGGTCAGTTAACGCCCCCTGTCTCCAATCGAAGGACGAACGTAAATACGTAATTGATATTTTCGAGCTACTGCAGTCTTACTCCAATCTGAGACTTATGCTATCGCATATTCTGTCTCCTTCATTCCTTTTTACCTTCTTTCTTACTCAATCATCAGGGTCAGACAGACCGCCAGCCCTTAAAAAACAGCTAGCCGTCCATAACCTAGCGCAAAAGTTTGCTTTTCATATATATAGAAATTATATAGCGGTAGTGAAGAAATTCTAATAATGATATTTCCATAACCTGTTAACCTTTTTGTATCGGGTGAAAACCCCAAGGCTCATTACCGGGGCTAAGTGGCATGTCATATTTGGACTGACTAAAACCACACGGTGTTTCGTCACATATGGACTATTGCCAGGGACTTTACCATAGGAAAGAACACCGGCATACCTTGTCCGTCATAGGCAGCCACACCATGTGTTAATCTAAATTTATTGTATTTTACATCCCACACAAAACATTTTTGTAAAAAATGTTATCAAGACGAGACAATTGCTCGCACTGTAAAAAAGTTATTAGATATCATGTAGAGCCAAGCTTCTAATTCTACACGTCCTAACTTCACAAACTCTACACCTCAATCAAACAGATGTTTAATGTACTGTGTTTAATCATAACTGATTTATTAAATACATTTTATACATCCATATCATTTTGATACTAAAAATTTCAAACGTTCGTGTATTACGTATATCTCAACATGTCTAACACAAATATATTCTGTATTAAAACTAGAAAGCAAGCATCTTCAAAGTATTGAAAGCCCCTTAATTGCGTCTATTCAGTAAAGTACATCAGATTTGATAGTAAAACCACCACTTTTGTTAGAGCAGTAAAGCCTACAATGACTTGAAGCTGCTGCTCGTGTTTTGTTCCGTAGGTTGTTGGTGCAAATGGACTTAATTTGTTGTGAGTGTTTGTAGAGTCTGTCTTAGTAGACTAGTTTTGCCTAGGATATCTTTTGCACGTACTTTTTTTAAGTTAACCGGTTAAATTTCCTGTCACTTGGTACTTTGGGTAATACTGACACTGCCTGAAACAATTTTGTGCACTTAGCGCATTATGAATGTATGGAAACTGGCAAAATGATAAATAAACCAGATGTGAGGATGAAAATAGAGAAAAAAGATTTGAAGAATGTTTGGGCTTTTCAGCAGCTCGTTTCCCAGAGGCAAGTATCGCATCCCTCAGATTGGAAAAAGGTTGTAATGCCAATTGACGCAAGTAGAATAAAGGGAATAGCGCAGGACTCTTGCACCAGTTCTAGTGTCGGCAAGGACAAGATTATTTCAACTAAAAAAGACTGTTGTACTTAGCTTTTGTCTGTAAAAGTACTCCTTTTGCTAATATCTTTCATTTTTTTTTTCGTCTTAAACAAAGACAACTCACGCACTAGGAATACATCCTGTGTCGCGGGGGACTTTACAAATATACATAAAATGGACACAAAGAACACCCAGACTTCGAACGACAATTTGTGGATTACACAAAGTGTCGTTCCGTGTTAGGATTGAACCCACAACACTCAGCGCAGAAGAAGGGGAGTGGCCTTTTTCCCAAACTGTGTTTGGTCGGCTGTAAGTCTACTACGATACGGCTAAAATTTGATTTTTTTACGCGCGACTGCCATCAGACCTCCACAACCCAAGTAATAGGCGATATCGCAGTTCTGTAGAAAGACTTGTTTTACTTTTTGGGGCTCGATTGCCACAGATGTCGTATGGCAACAAGGACCGAACGTGCTCTCCAAGGCACGGAGGGGTCTCAATGTGTCAAGAATGGTTAACCACCCATAGACTGACCTGGGTAGGATTGCTTAACTTTGTAATGTGTTAACCGACTTGATTACTGCTTAGCCTCAATATGTATAATGTATTAATTAAGCAATGATCACCCTTGGATATAAAAGTAAAATACTTTTCTTAACAAAAGCAAATTTTAATGTTCCTTTTAAACATCATTTTCTACTTTTATTAATTTAACGATACAATATTTGGTTTCATTGAAACGATGCTATTATCTGTTTAATGGTTTTAGTATATTGCTGATAGACAAACTTGTTTCAGAATAAATAAGGGTAATTTGTTATCCGACCCCAGTAAAGGGACCTTCGAACTTGATCAGACCGTCCTTAAAACCCTTCAGAATAGCCTTGATCTGAACGAAATAAGGGTAAGAACATCCTTTGCTTAATTTATTGCCTTTGAAAATAAATAAATGTTTTTTGTTCTCCCTACAAAAGTCAATTACTTGATTTTTTTGGATTTCTTACAACTAGCATTTACTTTTTAATATAAACTATATTAAGTTTATTGAATATATAAATTTTATTTAAAGCCTGAATTATATTACGTCTTTTAGTTTGTCTGTTATAGAATCGACCTTTATTCCTAAAACCCGTAACGAGATGAAAACCCGTGTCTAACTATATGCCTCAAATTCTATACAAAGCTTCGCATTGCGGCTTTATAAGAAAACGCCAATATTGCCTCAGGGAGTTCCTTCGAAATTTGAAAACAAAATTTATGTACCCTTAGTGAAATAGGTATATAGTAATGTTATACCGTATATTTTACGTAAATGTTATACCGACAACAATTTCATTATGTCGCATATTTAACCTCTGACGCAATGCCGCAACTATTTCGTTTGCCACACAATTAATTGCCACACAGCTGTTACTGCAAACTTAAGTATACCTAAAGTTTTAATAACTTTGCTGTATTTTGAATCAATCTTGATTATTGTTTAAGTAACATTTCCTTGGAACAAGTTTGTCATTTATATACTAAATCCAATTACATTGTTTGCGAATTAAATTGATCCGCGTTTGTTTAAACAGCTTAAGAAGTACAATTATGTAAATTATGTCAAGATGGTGAAAAATTTACATAAACTTTATTTAAGGTTTATTAATTATTTGTAATCTCTGGTTTATGTAGTAAAAAGAATAAAAAAAAAGCAGCTTAAAGCATATTCAAATACATATATTTTTCTTATTATATTGTATAATATTTTAAGGTGATATGTAAAATAAAAATTTACGTTAAAGTTTTTATTAATAATACATTCAGAAATACCACTTTACGTAAAAAGTGAAGCTACATATTATGACCTAGATTTATAGGACTCAGCAACGTAATTATACGTAATTGTGTATTATACATATTTAATCACTTATTCAGCAAAAAAAAGCCACTATATTATTATTTACAAGAAACCTTCAGTCAAGTTATAGCTGAAATAGCGTTCAATTAAAGAATGGGTCAACCCCGTTAAACTTCAGCTTTCATAATTTCTAAAAATGTTTCAAAGCTTTTTTTTTCAAATCTTTATCAACATCATGTTAATTAGCTATTATCACATATCACTCATTAATAGGTCGTCACTGGTTTTGTATAACCCCAGGTTCATACATTGTAAGGTTTCTTTACGCTCGTAACAAGAGCTTTAGAGGCATCATACTACACCGGGTACCAACCGCTTAATGTATTCTTCGAGGATAGAAGAGGTCAGGCACCTTTACCTCAAACTTATTTCTCATAACTTATTCATTATTGTAACAATGTTGGATTAACAACGCAATACTCAAGTATACAAAAAGGTCGATTGGTTCAGACTTAATATTTACGCAGATTTATTAAAAGCCATTGGTTTCATCTCAAGATTGAGGAATGGCTAACCCACCAAAGCTATTTTGTTAAATTAATTGAAATACTGCGCAGTCGATGTAATTGTTCTAATTAATTTCAATAGGAATAACTTTAGTGGCTGAGGGTTGGTTTTGAGTGATGGATATTTTAAACCGTAAAATGCTAGGAAACGGCCCATCTTAATTTATAAGCTAATTTATACAGGGATCTGATGTACTGATTTATTGATTGAATATTTCTAATAGAAACGTACGTAATATTTAAGTATTATTATTATTACGTAAGTATGTATTAATATGTTATAAATTTATAAGACTTGATGTGTGGTTTTAGGCGGTTAAAGTCTGATACTGTTACATTACCTTGCCGTTGCTCCCTTAGTCGGCTCTTACGACACTCACCGGATGAATAGGGGTGACACTCCGTATTCTTAATCCGTCACCACACGAAGGGAATTTTAATAAGTATAAATATTGAAAGTATTATATTTGGGGTCTCCTTAAAATGGTTTATTTAACATATACATATATGACACATATATGTAGTTGCATGCAAGCACATGAATGTAACAGCAAAATTGTATTTAAATATTTGACTTTCATTGTCAAAATGGTTGATGATGATGATATCAAAATGGCTTGGATAAAAATATCAGATCCTTAATTATTCGCCATAAAATGTACATTTAAATCTGTACGTATATTATATCATATATATGTGCAAGTGTGTTTGTTTGTTTTTATCAATATCAATTTAGTGGTTTAGGCATGAAAGCGTATTTCATGCCTAAACCACTAAATTGATTTTGAAACTCCTTCCACCAATGGAAAGCTAGCTTTCTACTAGCTAATGCATTTATTCTGTTATGTTCTTATTTATTTTATTTTATTTATTTAGTTATCTTAGGAAAGCTTACAGACTAATATTAACATACACTGCTGAGTAACGCTTAAATTGATAATAAAAAGCTTCCACATATAAATAACCTAATAATAAACCACAGTTATACATAATATTCCCAGTTGATCTGAACAGCAAGTGTCAGCAAAAAATAAAACGAAAACTAAATTATAGGCAACACAAAAAAAAAACAAATAAAATAATAATTAAAACAGATAAACAAGGTAATTCAGTAGGCATATCTACCGGTCGCTGCCAAAGAAATATTTACTGAAAAGTCTTTTGACTGTAGTTGAATTTGTACAAAACAGATCTAAGTCCAACTTTGATGCCACATCAGTATAGCTCTCAGCCGCACGCAAAAGATACGAGTTCGCCTATAGTTAGCTACAGCAAAGGGAACGTGTAGTAGGGGACGATGTCTAAAAACTAATTGATTCGTTCCAAGTGTGATATTGCTCAGCAATTCTGGACAATCAATGGTACCATTGGCGATGTTTATCAGGAAACATATGTCACTAACAGTTCGTCTCTGTTCCAAAGGCAAGAAATGATAACGCTTGCAACGTCCATTGTAATCGGCAGAGTATTGTTGGGCTTTAATATCTAAGTAACGCAAAAACTTTCGCTGAATACCCTCTATGCGCGATTTATAAAATTGATATTGTGGGTTCCATACCTGTGACGCGTATTTAAGAAGACTACGTACATAGGCGCAGTATAAAATTTTTACAGTTTTTAGAGATCGGAAATATGTAGATCGAATATAAGTTTCGAATCCATCACCACACCAAGGTCCCTATTGTGATCTACCTTCTTAATAAATTCATTCTTTAATTGGTATTCAGACCCAATTGTAGATTTCCGGCATGTAAAGGAGATATAGCAACATTTAGCCACGTTTAGGTCAAGCTTATTTATTTTGCAGTAGGTTACAAAGTTGGGTTGCAAAGTTCTGGGAGTATTCCTCTTTCAGCACTTACATTTCACTTACAGCACCAATATTATATTCCTCATCGCTGGGAGAGGAATAAAATTTGAAATATTTTTTTGAGAAGCTGCTGTAGGTGCTGACCTACAGCAGTTTCTAGTGATGGGATTTATATTTTTGCACAAAGTTCTTAAATAATACTTGTCGAAAAAAACCAGTAATTAATACTTACCATACATTATACATCCTATCATTAGAAACTATAGCACCGTAGGTGCTGAATGAGGAATAGAATTTAGTATATTTTTTGTTCCACATTGAGCTAGTTTATTATTCCACTGGTTTAATTGGTTACGGCTAGAGCTTGTCAGTCATAGAGATTTTAAAAGACAAGACACCGCGAGATAAAATCTCTATTGCCAGTATTTTTTGGCAGCGGTTACTGCTAACCATGCTCTACGCTTATTTATCTAAAAACTAATTTTATACTATTCATAAGTGTTCCTGAAGATTAGTTTCCATGCATGTCTCTGTACTATAATTAACTATCTATGGCCGCTGTGTTCGTGTACCACAACCAAATTCAATTTCACTATGATACCGGGAAACCACTGCACAATTAACTGCATCTCGTTAGTTGTCAAATGGTCAATGTAACATGTTGGCTTGTTGGCTAACAGGCAAATAGAGCGGCTCATCCGAAGGATTAACGAACATGTACATACGTAGACGCACTACCTATAGTTCGGAGACTCCGGGAGTTGAACATGAAATGCAATTTGGATTTTACTCTACATGGATGATTTTCTTGGCTTACTTTAAAATGTTGCTT